CCTACCTCCCGACTATTTAGCAACGTTACAATCCATCACGGGATTATATTATATATGAAAACACGCATAATGGCTGATCTGGCCATCCAAGACATATCTTTACAATTCTACTTTTCAGGGCAAATGTATGGGAAAATCATTGATTTATAAGGCACGTCTTAAAAATTGGCAATACTCTTCCCCGCCTTCTACAACCCACAACATAAAATGTTTATTTCCTGCAAAATGTTTCTAAAAATGATTAAGAACCCGTAAAACAGAAAACGGAGTTTTCGTGTTTTTGCCTCTAGCTGTACCGCCAGTGTACCGATTTTTAAAATCTACAAAGCTTCTTCGTCCTTGGTTTAATAGTAACCTAGTGTGAAAATTTTATCCATATCGTGTATCACTTTCCAGGTTAGCGGACAGACAGACCGACGGAAAGGAGTGCCATTCGTCATAAAACATAATCTGTCATTTTCGGAATCTTTCGCGATTACAACACTTTCTCGCCTAGTGGCGCAAGAAGTAAAACTGAATAAAACGTTCATATTTTAGTTTGTAATAATATTTACATTCGTAAAGTTTCACTGACTCCATTTCAAAACCATTCTTATTTAAAAAATGACCTTGATATTGACTACTATACAGGGTTATCCAAATTAAGTGTCCACCATTAGTAACTTTGTTATTAGTGAAAATACAAAGTTGTTTGAATTAGCAAACTAGTAGCATTTTTAACGCTGGTAAAAATGAGAAATAAAAAAAAACAATTGAGAGTCGTTATTTTGATTTTTTTCAGTAAAATAACATTTTTTTAAATGGAAACCCCTGTATATTATATTTTTTTCTGTTAAAGCATCAAATTTTAAACAAAAAAGTTCATAATGACTTTTCCGCTAAAGTCAAAAATAAAGTCAAAATAACGATAAATATTTTTAATTATTTGCAGTATTATAATATTAAGACGGCTATGAAAACAACATGGCGTTCGCGATTTGACAGCATTAAGATAAGCGACAAATTGTTAAACTGGACATACTCGCAACTAGAAGGCTTTGGAAAACAATGATAAAATCAAATAATGTCAAACATTAGTGTAACTACTTGTTTATAAGCTTTATTGTGTCATTAATTTAAAGAAAAATGTTCTCCCATGAAGAAAAGTGTGATATGTTAGAATGCTATTTAGTGTGCAGAAAATCCTCCTTGAGAGGACAGTGAATTATATCCCGCTCGCATTCAACCGTATGAACGATATTTTCTGAGACTTTATCGAAAATTTAGGGGCAACGAAAATGTTTTTGCTAAAACAAGGGCAAAAAAAGAATTCATAATAAGCGAGGCCACGGAAATTGCAGTTATTGGATATTTTGAAGCTTATCGTGAGAATTCAATAGCAGATATTCTCAAGGACTCTAATTTCAGTTATGGTACTGTTCAAAGGATTTTACAAAAATACAAATTTATTCCGTATAAGTACCGACCAGTTCAAACGCTTTTGGCAGGGGATCCAGAGAGAAGACTTGTTTTTTGCCATTGGTATCTTAGCTTCTGTCGCCAAAATGTAAATAACTTTCGTTACCTTTTATGGACAGATGAATCAAATTTTTCAAATTCTGGAATGTTTAATAGAAAAAACCACCATTATTGGTCAAGAGAAAATCTTTTGTTAGTACATCCAAGAGGCCCACAAGTCCGTTTCAGTTTCAACGTTTGGTGCGGTATAATTGGTTCAAAAATTGTTGGCCCGTTCTTTTATGAGGGAACCCTAGCTGGTGAAAGATATGTGGAATTTATGTCAGAAATTCTGACCAATTTCTTAGACGAGTTGGATCTTATAAGTAGACATCATCTGCATTTTCAGCAAGATGGCGCACCTGCCCACAACTCCAGAGGTACTTATCATTTTCTAAGTACTACTTTTAATGATCAGTGGATAGGAACAAATGGCCCAATACAGTGGCCTCCCAGATCACCAGATCTAAACCCACTTGATTACTTCTTGTGGGGTTACTTAAAGAAGCAAATTTACAAGCGAAGGTACGATAACCTTGACGCGTTAAAGACTGCAGTTAGGGAAAAGATAACCCAGATAGATGGTAGGACCATACTTAAGACAGTTCGAGCAGTTGAAAAACGTGCCCAAAAATGTATTGAAGAACAAGGTGGTGTTTTCGAGCATCTTCTTTAAAAAAAATTGTTATTGTATTTTGTAAGATTATAAGTTGATGTTGAAAATAAAGTTTGTCGATACAATTTAATTGTTTCAGATTGGAGGCCATAACTTCAACAATTTGTAACCTAGGAGAAAAGTTATTGTAAGCTTTTTTGTTTAAAATTTGATGCTTTAACAGAAAAAAATATAATATACAGGGGTTTCCATTTAAAAAAATGTTATTTTACTGAAAAAAATCAAAATAACGACTCTCAATTGTTTTTTTTTTATTTCTCATTTTTACCAGCGTTAAAAATGCTACTAGTTTGCTAATTCAAACAACTTTGTATTTTCACTAATAACAAAGTTACTAATGGTGGACACTTAATTTGGATAACCCTGTATTCTTCCACTGTTCTAGGCGTATATTTACTTGATTTTCTACATTATGTCTTAATTCCACGTTTACACTATACAACTGTTACATGATAGTCATTAAGGCGGCTCCGACGCAGTGAGTTTCAAGCCATTTACAAGGGATCAGCTGCCTCGAAACTGACACTCCATTCTTCAATATTTTTGAATGAAATTCATACAGTATGTTCAGAAGATAATTGCCCAGGGTGCTATAGGAGCACTTTTTGAAATTTTATTTTTGAACAAGTTTTATGATGGGTTGAAGTGCGCAGTTTTTCTGTTCAAATTCGCGATTTTTTTAAAAAGAATCTAGAGAAAAAAATGAAAACGTGGCTCTATAGCACCCTGTGGAATTTTGTTTTCAGCAGACTATGAAAATTTCATTCAAAAATATCAAAAAATAAAGCGTCAATTTTGAAGCGCGCAAACCTCTACAAATCGTATTTTCGACGAATTTTGTCTACTGTTTCGTGCTGCCAACCTAAGCGTTTCGGCGCAATGTACGGACTAAGAAAGGACGAATTCCTATAATTTGGTGGCCCTATTTCATATAATATAGCATAGATAAATCGTTCTGCAAATAGTTACTCATAATCGCGATCGCTGATACTCCTCGATTTTAAAGCCGTTTTACTTCCCACGCCAGTGGCGAGGATGTATTGTAATCGGGAAAAATTTCTAAAATGAGATGCTATGTTTTTTTAAGTCATATGACATCTACATCACGAAAAACTATATGACTCTAATAACTTGGAAATTACAGCTCGGAGCTTTATGAAATTTCCACACGGGGTTACTAGTATGCCAAAGCTTTGTAGTTTTAATCCAATCGCAAGGGTGCTATAGGCAAAAAAGGAAAAGTAACAATTGCTGAAACTCCGTTTTTGACGTTACAGGGGTTCCTTATCACTGACATAAAAAAATGTACTGCTTAAAAAGTGGGGGTTGAGGGAAAGGGATATCACTACAGTCAAGTATAGGGGAATTTAGCGTGGAACTTTAAAATTATCGATATGTCAAGGAAATAAGTTTTTGAGAACGATAATTTGGTAGATTTTATACCTGCATTTTCATTTGAATTTCATGACCCGTGAAATGTGCCCATTTCGCCGTCACCTTCAATTTATGTTCTGCAGTTTGTGATGTTTTTCTGGAAGTAAGCAAGACATAATTGCCTAAGGTGCTGTCAGAGCTTTTTACAAAATTTTTAGTTTGTGCAAGAAGTATGGTGGGTTGAAATGCTTACTAGTTGTGCTCAACTTCTTGATATTCTAAAAAGATCCTAGTGGATAAAATCGAAAAAGTGGAACGTTAGCACCCTGTGAGCTTTGTTTCCTGCCAGTCCAAGCGACGCGACGGTGCGTTCCGACTAAGAAAACATGTATTCAAATAATTTGATATCTTTGGTAAAATAAATTCAAGAACTCAAATTCAAATTCGTTTATTCATGTCAATAAACACAATTATGTTTACAAGGGTCATGTGGTACATGGTAACAATTGCACGAGGGTCATAAAAATATCTTATGCCGTCAAAATAAGCGGAAATAGGTAGTTTTTGCAAAGCAATAAACAGGTAGGCTTATACCTGCATTAAGTACATTTCTTGTCTACTGTAATAGGTAGATGGAGATGCTGCCAGAAATGGATTTGAGCGATCAATAAACAAACCACAAGATTGAACTGCCCGGTCCAATGATTTTTGTATCGCCTTTTTTATTGCCTTGCTAGAAAACTCTGTTGGGTATATGATGGACTTTACTAGAACTTTACAGCTTGTTGTCTGCCTTCTTCTACAAACTTCACCAAATCGAGACGCTGTCAACCTTATCGACCGATGAAGGCGCCACAAAGTACAGTCCTGTGATTTGGTGACTTGTTCGATCTGCAAAATCTCGTCGTCACTTTTTTCAAATTTCCCTAAAAATTCTTGCTTAGCAACCTCCAAATCAATGCCGTTCATGTCAGGTTTTTGACAGAATACGCCATAAAACTATTCATTGTCTTTAAACTCACTGCATTTGTAATTAAAATGGTCGCATATGACCTTTTATTATCCACTATCAACATTGATAAAAAAGCACTCAAGAAAAATCACACCAACAAGAGTAGAGCACAACAATTCAACAACACAATATCGACAAACAGTAACAAGGGGAGAAAAATACTAAATGATCACTTGCTGAATACCAAAATAGGAAACGATTTACAGGCTAGATCGCTAATCGAAATCCGATTCTGTTATTATAAAAATTTACCTTGTATGCACCCCTAGTCATCCTGTCCTCTTTTAAAGTCGTTTCACCCCCCCCTTTATAAAGTTATTTATACGCGAAAGCTATCTAATATCTATAATATTTGATTCAAAGATCGAGGTTATCAATATTTGTTGAGTATAGACATTCAGAATATGAAAATCGTGAGTTAATAATGTTTTTTTTTTTCAGGTAAGTTGCTGTACATTCATAGCTGAAACCAATTGTAAGTATAAAATAGACCATAAACAGAATAAATTCTATATTATTGAGAGTTAGGTTTACAGTGCTATTTTCACGTGTTTTAAAAAAATGCTTTCTGTTTCTTGTTGTTTATTTACTTGTTTTTGTCCTTTTTCCCATTTCACCCTCTGCTAATTATTACTAATACCACTACAGTGTTATAATAAATAATATTTTGCATAAAGCATATTTGAGAATTCAAACATTATCAGTTGAATTTTCAATACAGTTTTGTTAGTCTAGGGTATACACGGAATACATATTTGATGGTCAAATCATATAGACACCTACAGTTCGTTGTTACGGGTCACTCTCCCTTTGTTCCACATATTCAAATTACTTTATCTGCCTCTATTTCATTTAGTGAAAAGAACCGGATAAGGGGGAATGGGGAATACAACAATACTTTATCTATTTTCAATGAATGAAGCATTGGTCTAGTCAAGTTAGGTGCAATTGAGTGTCTATGCTTTCCATAAAATTGGCATTGCTGGCATATTGATGTTTTTTCTGACTAATTTGGTCAACTCAACCTGAGCGTCTTCATGCTAGTTCTCTGTAATAATGACAGACAAATAATTTTTTATTCGATACTGGCACTTTTTCATGCTCCAAATTTAATTAGAGTAGTTTTTTCTTGTCATGTTCAACCCTGTAAACACTAGAAATATTAACTCATCATGAGAAACATTCTGTATAATAATTATCACAAAGTCACGGCTAAACAAGCACTTTTTGCATTGTTTTTCTCCATTAAATTGCCTTCTTTTATAACATTGGTTTGATATTTTAGAAATTAAGAAGTGGACATATGGGACTAAGGCCGAGTTATGCGTAAAACATTTGAATCTGATAAAATCAAGAAGTTGGGCGTCTGGAATTTTTCTTCGCCTCATCTTGAAAACCGATATATATGGCTTTTAGTGATAGTCAAATTTCACTGGCCTATTAGATGGGTATCAGAAACATACAAAAGGGCAATTGGAAATTGTCGATACCTCAGAGCATCCTGTTTCCAATGTAAATTTTGTAGGTAGCTATCGAACCCTTCGTTGACCTGGATCGTATATTCTTGATCTACGTCCAGTTTTATGGTCGGATTAATCGAGTACTACATCGGCCCTACCCTTTAGTTCATTATACTACACATTCCGATAATTAGATAGATCTACATCTCTTTGAATTTATATTCTACTCAATAATGTTGAATACGAATATATGCTTCGAAAGCTTTCTCGAAATGAGCCATGGACCACGAAAAGAATATAATAGTTAGTTAAGTATGTAGGGAGAAAAGTGAACGCTTCTGGCCCGCGACATGAAACTTCAATATACGAGGCGCCGTGAGATCCAACACGCCACGAAAAATAAACGTTTATCACGCCCGATATACATGTAGTTATGCTAAAAGTCGCTTTCCCTTATGGATTTCCATGTGTGCGGAAGACAAAAGCGAGAGAAGCGTGGGGAAGATACAGCCGCCGTCCGCGCCCTCCTCCACAGTCGTTACTAGGCAACGTGATGACGACGCTTGTATGGTGCACTTTTTCTAGCACGATTCTCTCTTTCGTATATACGCTAATCTAAAAAAGAAAACGACTTTAGTTGAACGTATTATATCATCGGGAAATGGAAGTTACAGCTGTTGACTAGCAACAAATAAATACTACTACTAATAATAAAGCGGGCATCACCCTAAGGCGGAAAGGAGCACGTGAACTAAAAAGCAGGACTTTGCCCGGAAAACGGGGTAGGTGTCAGCGTCAATATCTGTTACAGGAACAGTGAATGTAAAATAATTAAAAAACTGTTGAGCTACCTAAACAGCTTTTTAGCTATAGCATAAATAGGTAAAAATGAAGAAATTTGTGAAACAAAGCAAAAGTTTTTTTAAATATTACCCCAACTAAAAAATAATTGATTACGTTATAAGCTAACGAGTATTATAAACTTTTAGATTTATTAGTTTTAATACTATTGATATAACCAGACTTGAGAACTTTTCACCATTGTGTTCACGACCTCTCCGTAGAGTTCTCCTAATCTGCATTCCAAACACGTAACAACCTGTGTATTTTCCGTTGTTTCTGCTACCGCGAAAAGTACGTAAAAAGGTGCCATCTAAAAGGAAACAAAAGGCAGACCCCGGACACAACGCCTCGCAGTTTGTCAGAGTTGTATAGGACGAAGTTGCTCTTTTTCTCTATTTTCTACATTTCCAGTCCACAGTATGCGCTTTCGAGATGCAGGGCCTTATTTAATTGCTCCCAGAAATTAACGAACCTCGAAATTATTTTTCCTTATTTTTCCATTGCAGTTCGTTCGACGTACGGGTTTAAAAACAGAATAAAATGGAAAGAAAAGGCTAGGCGATAAATTGGTGGAAATCTTCTTCCTGTTGATGCCACAGTAAATTTATATCGACCTATTCCTTTACGTTGTTTTCGCGTTTTCTTATTTTTAAATTTCATTGGATTTTGATAGACACGAAGACGTGTCAGCAAATCGGTAAAAGATAACTGCGTCATCGGGAGAGACTTGAGACTGTCTCTTAAGGAAATGTCACCTATTAGGTTAGTCAGACGAGATATTGGTCTTGCATAGAACGAGAAGGTGACGGTGAAAATAGTTCCTGGTCTTAAATAGATTAGGCAGCTTTCCCCAGAAGCTGCTAGAATTGCCAATCCATATGTTTGCCGGATCATCTCCTCATAGTCCAGGAAGTATCTTTGCATCTGTTCGCAAAAATATTCCGTGTCTATTTTTTGCATAGTCGTATTTAAAAAGGCCCCCTTTCAACAAATGAGGGGCCTAGGCCAAGTTTATTTAAATGCCAATAAAACATTACAAACAAAAAACATTTTCTTAATTTTGCTTTTTTATTGTCATTGTTGCAAAAATGTACTTGAATCATTATACATGTTACAAAAATTATGGTGGTAACATGATTCAAGTGCAACTACCGTACTAAACCAAACAGTATTTAAAAATAATCTATAACAAAATTTCTTATTCATAATCAGAATCTAATATTTGGATGTCTTCATCAATTTCTTCATCTGAATCAGCTGGTCTTGGTTGGGGTTCATCTATATCAGGTACTTTTTAGATAAGCAAGTTTTTGGCATCTGTTGCTTTCTGGGCCTCTCTTTGGTGCAGCTCGAGATCTTGCTTGGCATTTTTAATCACGTCTTCATTTGTAGAATATTTTATTAAATTTTGTAAATTGTCACAACGACTGCAGGTATCACTATAGGGCTTGTGGAATCTTAAATTGAATTCCGTATTGAAAATATGCATGTAATAGGACTCTTTTACTGGTAATTCTTGTTTATCAATACAAAACTCCTGATATAATTTGTACATCTTATTGATACTTAATTCTCCTGAGAGATACCTTGCGTTCCCAATCAGTACTCATTTTGTTTATTATTATAACACTACCACTACTGCAAAATGCGTATTTTTAACTAAGAATAAGTAAAACGTTGAAATCACGTCACACGTAAAACATTAAAAATAGTTGCCAAAGCCTTAGAAGTAAAACGGTTCAAGTGCACTTGAATCATTTTACCACATACTGTATTAGTGGATATTTTGATATGTTCTCAAAGACTATGAGAGATGGCGCCAGGGAACGTTGCCTGCATTTAAATCATTTTACCACCAAGTTAAGATATGCTTTAGGTATGATATTCTGCACTTAGACCATTTAATTAAAAAAGTGCACTTGAACCGTTTTACTTCCAAACCCCTCAAATGTGCATGTTGCTGGGCCGAAAATTGCGTCTATAATTGTTTTGTAAACAAGTTCCAACAAAAGTTTTTCCGCTACCGACAATAAACTAAAAAGATTCTTACAAACTTTCCTCTAAAATTGATAGTTTTAGGGATATAAGCGATATAATATTTAAAAAAGTGCAAAATATATCATGTCCTACCCCGACAAGCAGTATGAAAAAGTGAAAATTCTTATGTTGCCAAAGGTCCCAAATATTCTTCAAACATCCGTAAAATCTCAAGGTATTTTTTAGGATATTGTTATAGTAAGCCTTTATTTTTTTTATTGTTTATCTCCCCCCACCAACTCAGAATATAGATTGAGCGCGCGCTTATCTAACTCCGAAAACAAAATAACAAAAACCCATAAAAATATTTTGTATTTTATTAATAGATGCTTGATGAATGTTCATGAACTTTTACAACATTAAAATCTTCATTTTTATTAATGTTTTTATGGCCAAAAGAAACCGCATATCGTCGGTTAGGAAGTAGAGTGTCATAACTCAAAAGTGTCTAACTCTAAATAATCCATGTCAGGAATAATGCCATAAGTCAGACTTATTTAGTACATAGCTATATAGAATGAAGCCACAGTTTGAAGATCAATGCTTTCCATTCGAAAATATATTATTTTAAGCCTTTCTGCTGAATATTCCTGAATTTTCAGCTGTGACAGTCTTCTGATATGTATAAAATTACTTTTTACTGACTTTTCAAAGTTTCAGGTTTTGCATAACCTTTTTTTGATCTGAACGACCCAAAAAAACTAAGAAACCTTTGACAAGTGGGAAAAACGACTTTTGGGAATCGTTTAAAAAATTTTATGCGACGACATTCTGAAAGTTTTACGAGTATTAAATAGGAAATGGTGAGAGGCTTATGAGATATGCTTTGTCACAAAGAAAACATATTTTTCCAACGAAACGACCCTTTTAGTATAGGGCAAACTTGGATTAGTTGTTACTTCAATTAAAAATTGAAATAGTTTAACCAGACAACACAATTTTCGTGCAGCCAAAGTCAAATCATCTGTGTGACCCCAGTGAACGTACTTTCTATTGTCACTCGGAACAATGTCCTTATTCATACTCCGGGTTTACCCTAATAGTTATACTGTGACCCCCTGTCGCAGTCAGGCACGTTTCAGCATATAGCACAGGTCAAGGCGTCTGGTTCCCCCTTAATCTGATCACCGATTAA